CCGCATTCATGGGCAGACACGGAAGTGGACCGGAAGTACTTTCGTACTTCTGGGTTTGCTGCCAGGCATGTGGGCTGCACCGCCTGCACTCCCGTGGGATGCTCCATCTACCCCAGCATCGCAGCGTTCACAAGCCACGCCTGGTACCTTGAGGTATGTAGAAAAAACATTTAAAACTGTGTCTGTCTGAATCGCTGATTCTCCAAATCGGCATCGACTCTTCAGATTTGGATTCAGCCTAATCGAATCAGGGGGCAGTGATCTGAATCAATGAATTGAATCACTGTCCCCGATTTGGACTGAATCCAAATCCGAATAGAATACGGTCTGTTTCACACACCCCTAATGCCTAACAGTGTTAAGGTTTTGTGTCACCTTTAAAAGTATCTTGTTGGGATTCAGGATCATATGCCAATAGTGCCATTAAAGCAACATCTGCCAGGGGCTTCAGTTCAGACTCAGCATAATGAAGGGGAGGCATCTGGGGCACCAGCCCTGAACACTGGTGGAGGGAGGCACAAAACCTGACCTGATTTGGGGGGGCACAAAAAGAGCAACAGCTGTGCTGCTGGCATTGCTGTCATCATGCTGACAACAATGCAATCGCTGATACTGTGTGTGGCTGCAACACAGGTGGACCAAGCACCCAGTTACGTTTCTGAGTTCAGATGTAACTTGACTCGAACTGAGACTATGAAAAGCCATAACTTTCATTTTTAAATTTTTAAAAGGGGAACTTGTCTCCTGGGAATTCAGCTGTTCTGATTTAACTGTTATAGCTCTCAAGTCCTATACTTGTCAAAGTGGAGTTAAACTGCTGCAATTTAAACCTACTTTATTCAGGTTTAAAGTTATAGTGCTTGCTCTCCACTTAGACACATATAGGGGTGGACATAAAAGTTTATATTGGAACAGCTTGGACTAATGGAGCGCACATCTGTCCACCTGTGGAATATTAATTGTTTTCTTGAAGCAATGAAACTGGGTGGTAACAGCAACCTACCATATTTACTTGAATACAAAATGAGGTTTCCCCTCCATCCCCCAATTGGCACAGTGGGGAAAAAAGCCCCTTGTCCTAAATCACATACAAGGAAATCTCACTAAGTACATTGTCTATCATTAAACTGCTGCCAAAAGCAGCATAGAAACCAGCTATGAAGCTGATTAAATGTAGCCAGCACTATAGTGCTGCTGCACAACATCCTGACCAGCAGTTTTTCCCTGCCCCAGGTGCCACTTGTCATATATGTGGAAAAACTTGCAGAGCACGGATTGGACTCCTCAACCACCTTAAAACTCACCAGTATTCCCCGCCCCCCCACACAGCAGACATTGTCCTTATACTGAGTGATAGCCAAGCTGATACTGTAGCCAGCACTGAGCATAACTAGAAAGCACAGGGTCCGCATTGGGCAAACGTTCTGGACCCGCCCCAAGAACAGACTGGTGTAGTCCATGTGAACAAGACATATGGTGGTGCCCATTGAGTGCAGGCCCCTTTACCGCAGACTCTTCCAGTCATGGCAAACCATGACATCACACAGTTCACCCAGAATCCCTCTATCAGCTCTTCTCTCAGCCTGGCCCATATGATTTGTGTGGCCCTGCCCTCCATGAGGTGAAGCCGGGCCAGATGGCTCTGTGGTTCATCTGCATATATGTTTTTGGAGTATCCCAGGACTCGTGACATGAACACCTGGTTCCAGTCTTGAGTGGGGATAATTAGCACATGGATAAGTTGTGGGGGCCGATATCTGGAGTATATGCACGTGTTTAGCTGTGGGGTCACCATGGCTTGAAATGTTGCTGGGGCCCAGCCCAGTGAGCTATGTAGTAAATCATGAGCCTTTGGCTTTGGACTAAAATCACACACAGTTCGTACTATGTGTAAAGAGGTGCCAAAGTACTGCTCGGCAGTATGTTTATAGAGTACCTGTGCTAAAACTTGCAACAGTTGAGGGGGGGGGGAAAAAAAGGTAACACGCATCAATTCTGGACAAACTAAGTGCACTATGCAATTGCTACAGTCATGTTTAATTTCAAGGTTGTTGTTTGTAAATTTGCTCCTCGCTTTGAAGTTTTCAGGAGGGCAGGGTCTGACAATGGGGAGAGGGGGAAGGGGCTACCAGCGGAAAAAGCATGGGCAAACCAGCTAGTGAAGGGCTACCTCGCCTCCCAAGATTTATTTTCCCTGCTGTAGCATTTGAGGGAGACAAATTCAAGGCAAACATCCAGTGATTAGAGTCTGTACCTGGAGTATTATATCAAATTGCTAAATGTTCCATGTATAGAATCTAATTATTGGAAGGGTAGTCTTATAATCAGGGTCATCTTCTAGTAAATATAATACATTTTAAGCGAGCATAATTTTAAATCTGCTTCTTATAAAACATGGCTTTTATCTATAAGAAGACGATCATGAGTGACTCGTTTGCTGTATGTTTTTTACCTGTGCATAAAGTTTAAACTGGTTAACAGCATACATTTTGTAGAAGAATTTATTTAATGAAACCTAAGGTGAAGATCAGTAAATCTTATAAACTTATAAATTCATTAGTTTTGAATTTTTTCCCAATTAAATGACTGATTTGTAGCATGACTGATACTGAACACCTAAAGTCTGAGTTAAACGAGCCTCTGTTCCAAACTTATTCTTTATTTTAATATATTAACTAAACTTGGATCAGAGGCATGGGAGCTGCCTGAAGCTCTCCAAAGATGACAGTTTTCTGTCTCTCAGGAATACTGAAGCCTAGGGATGCTATATTACACTCCAAGGATAAGTGTTTTAGAGCAGGAAAATAAGAGACAATGAGTAACTCTGGGCTTTCACATTTTGTTGTTCAAGCCTGAAATACTAACTTTGTACGTTTATTGGTACGTTATTGCCTTACGGAATCTCAGGATGACTTTTCTCCACTCCTGTCAAGAAGGCGTAAAACTTTGCCTTTAATTGTTAGAAGCAGTGTCCTCTGAAATGAAACCATCTCCCAGAAAATAATTAGGCAGGTGTGTTGCAACAGTCCTTCCGCCTTTTCTTTGCTAGGAATGAATAAGCTTTAATGAACAGTTAAGTTTCTCAGTGGAAAACCTTAGCAAACAGTTAGAAGAAGAATTAATTTGCCTTGATGTATATCACGTCGTTTTGTCTCTCTCTTCATAGTCTAAATTATCTGGAGTATGTTAAAAAAAACAAAACAAACAAACCCCAAGCTGGTGTACAAAAAAAATCTATATCTTTTTCCTGTTGCTTGATTCATACCTGGGTTTCAATTTTCTTTTGATATCGCAAAAAATTGTGTAATTTAATGGAAAATCATTTGGTATGGGAAGAGGCAGAAAAGGCAAACGGTAAATTGTCCTGTTTCATTTAAGTGTCAGAAGTAGAAAATACTGAAATTTGTTTCTTCAGTTAATAGAATATTTTCTTTCATAATTCCTCACAAAGCTTTAATTGGTCTGTAAACCAAGTACAGTATTTCCTTACCTCTTGAGGATACTGGTCTGTCTCAAACGTTAACAGTGCATTGATCAACACAGGATCTAGGTAATGCATTTCTCTTTTGGGCTTCTGAACCATGAATTGATTCTTTAGATAGTGGCATTGTTTTTATAACTTTTTTCTTCCTCTTTTTACTTCTCTTTCCTTTCCTTTTCTATCTGAAGAATTCTCTGCAAATAAAAAGATGACTCAAAAGCAAAGATATTAATAGAACAGACAGAGTTAAGGAATGATCAATGCATTTTACAGCAAAATAGGTGAAAATCATCTTCTCTTGCTTTTGTTTTCAGTGGAAAAGC